CCCTCAACCTTTCTTTTCATGGACGCTAATCCTGAAAAAGAGCAGTAAGTCATTTTTCACGTGATCCGACTCGATCGAGTTTACGTGCACGAATAATATATTCGTTAGCAATAATCGTAGAGAGAGCTCTTTTACAGATTTATAAAAAAATTTAACGATTTTATCTCTCACACATACACACATTATATATCGTAGAGAAGTTAGTATAACTTTTTCGAGTTATAAATATTGAGTATGTTTTTGAATTGTAATTGACGGCAAATTTACACGGTTTTGTCAAATTAATTTCGCAATATTTTATTCTGCGATTATTTTTGCTTGGATAAGATACAGTTGTTACTTAATTACTTCCGTTAAAACAGATGTTTCGAATCCGTTGAAAACATTTGACATGGGAAGATAAGAGCATTTTTCGAAATTGTTTACACGGATAACATTCCGTTTTCACATATCTACTGGATCTTTTGTGCATCTCGTGTACATAACGTTTCTCTATCTCCTAGAGAACATTTTCCGAACAAATATATAAAATGTTTTACAAGAGATCAAGAGACTTTTAATCACTTGATATCTGAACAAGATTGATAACAAAGATACAAAAGCATCCCGATATTAACTGTTTGTCTCGAGAGAAATAAGACGATAAAAAATGATAAGACAGATCTCGTGTAACATTTTGGAAAATCTTGTTAGAATTGTTACACGAGATCAATTTGTATTCATATTCGCTCGTGCAGCACTCGCTATTTTTCAGTCGATCTTTATATTTACGTCCAAATATATTATCAGCAAGCGAGAAGACTCGTTCAAGCCGCTTAGACAGCTAATGCAAGTGTTCTACTTACAGAATGTATACTTTGGCACGCGAGATGGTGTAAGTAAGACCGACAAGAAGAGAGATAGAGAGCCATGGAAGCTCAAATTCATGTTAGAAAAATAGCGAAAATTTTTACAGCGGAGGGGCCGTTTACCTTCTGGCGGCGGCGAATAAGACGTTTGATTCCAAAACGTTACTTTATTTTCCTCAAACGTTTGCTCGCGTCAAAGTGGGCTTCCTCCTCCTCCTTTCTCTTGCGTTTGGTTGAAACATCGCTCGATGTCGAGCACTATTTGGATATGAAAATTCCGACGGGGGGAAAGAGAGAGTCGTAGTCCCTTGTAACGAGTCTCCGAGGCGAGCTCGCCTTATGAACAACGGTCGGTCGACAATCCTCTTGAGAACCGTGGAAACGCGCCAGCCGACGAGACGGGAGGAAGTGATCGCTTCCGGAAGGGATAACGCGTCGGTTACGGAAGCGTTGCTCGGGGTAAATAGCAATTAGGTACGCCGATTCCTTTGATCCGCTATCCCGCACAGCGTCAACCTTTCTCTGGAGACTCTCGGGATGAAAAGCGTGTGATGTGTGTGGTTTTTCTATCGCGACGACCTTTCTCGAAAATCACACTGGCGTGGCGCGATAGAGGGAGAACACTGATTTCGACGCTTTTGATTCAATTCGCAGACAGTTGGCGCTTGAGATTTATTGATCTATCATCAAAAACGGGCCGCTAAATTTAACGTCTACCATATACGATCCTCAGCAATGTACATTTTTTATTGTTAAATTATTCGTATATATATAATATTTAAAAAAATTATACAATAAGTTTATTAATGATTTATTATAAATACTAATAATCGCAATTGAATTTTACGTCTACGTTTTACGTCTAAAATAACAGCCGCGTAAATGATACATATTAATGATACACGTAATGGTACGTATAGCTAAATTAAACTGATTGCATTTTCATAAAAGATGTTGACGCACATGCCCGTTGATTTACAAAGTCCATGATCATATTTTTAAGCATAAATTACACGCTGAATGCTGCACATTTTACTAAAGCCGCGTGTTTGTCGTGAATTAATTAAATGAAACCGTGTTACAATATTTTGGTATATAATAATATGTATTTCTTGTATTGAAATATTATAATAATACTTCAGTAGTATTATAATAATACTTCAAAGGATTGGCACAGCACATAATATGCCCGGTCTCGGCCCGTCAGTTGAAATTACGAATAAATAGCGAGCGCATTGTTTTATTTGTCAAACTTTGTAATACGGGCGAGCAACGTATACTCTGCAATATCATAAAGTCGTCCGCGTTTCACATTTTATGGATAAAAATATTCAGAGAGAGAAGTTAGGATATTTAACAATTAATTATATAAATAATATTTGTTGAAATATGAAACATGCAATAATAATTATGTAGAAATGAAAGTAATGGAAAATCAGCTTGAACAAAGTTTGTAATATTATAGCATAGTGCCAAGTGATATTAAAATAAAGAATATAGAAATCATAAAATAAAGAATATAAAAACATGCTTAATGTCAAAATAAATATGTTGTATAATCTTTTTTCACCGAGGGATCAAACAAGGATTATTTGATTGGCAGGCTCGGCGACTGTTGTAGACGCACTATGCGATTTCGAATAATTCTATTATGGAAAAATAAATTCTATGTCTTATACATATATTATTAGCAATTGCAGTATTTTTCTTCAAGAAAAACATTATTGATGACATATGATGCCTTACTTAGCAATTGATTTATTTTGTATTAGATTCAATTTTGCATTTATTTTTAATATTACAATTTATAAGGGTTTCTTTGTTTATTTTTTATTTGTGGATAAAACTTGAGCAAAATTAATAATGAGTGCTCGTTGATGACGTAAATATTTTGCTTTTGCAGTTTTAATATGAAATGCGTAGAATAAATTCAATAAATCTAATTTAACGATCATTTTTTTATGTGAATTCTATGCTCTAATCCTTGTCAATCTCGCGGGAAAACGTGTATGTATTATATAACGGGCTACCGGAATGGAACAAATACAAATCTCGGAGCGGAGAGTGTGTCCGCGCGGCCGGCTATTGATTCAACGTGACCACAATTCAGGGTTATAAAGCAGCGTCATTCACAGTGTGACGCGCATGAAATTGGTCCTCCAAAAATACAACTCTCGTCGAAAAAAACGTGAAAGGGGCAGTCGATCGAATCGGCACGGGCCTTCGTAACCCCGATTCTTAATCCGTCGCCATCCACGTGTATTTGCAGTGGGTTGACAGCCAATTCGCCATTTCTCCGTGAAAACTGCGGTGAAGCCAATCAAGCCGCATGCCGAAAAGAGAGAAAGAGAGAGAAGTAAAATAGAACGCGAGCGCGGTTAACTCAGTTGGATCCACGAATGCAAAGGGTTAATCCGGAGAACTCAGCTTGCGATAGATCTCCGCCGACTGTAATCCACCCTTATCTCCTGCTGAAGTTCTGCCACGTAATCCAATAAGCGATTTTTGCACTACGTGCATTTATATAGCGGAAGGTCGCTCCGGATATAGAATCGATATTAATAACAGGATGAGTGAGATATACGTGAAGTCTTTGTAGAACTACAAAAAATTTCTATATAAAATCATTCAATTTTATAGAATACTTTTGAATTTTTATCAGGTCTTTTACTCTTCCGCGATAAAAGATTGAAACAAATTTATTCTCAACTTAAAAGTTGGTCGAACACTAAAGGAAACTCGTCTTGGTATCGGCTGGGCGCGAGCGGGTACTGACGTTGGCGGCGGATATTGGGGCATTTGTCAGCCACTCGAGTGTTAGCGAGTGTAGGTACCGAAGCGGGTATATACTTATTAGCGGCGCGCTTCTATGCATGGCGCCATGCCAACTAGTTACCGGATCGACCCAACGGGTCCTAAAGGTGAAGTCCAAACGCGTACCCGAACCCGGAAACCCGTCTATGCATACTTAGTGCCCCGTTCGCGTCGACAGCGAGCCAGCTTCCTCGGGTCAAAAGCGAGGGAGAAGGGAAAATGTGCTTCGCGAAATCGATACCCTAATAACAGTATCCTAAGAAGAAAAATCGATTTAAAAATTAAATAATTAATTAAAAGTTAAATAATCGATTAAGAGATTTAAATAATTTAAAAAATATTAAAATAATTATCTCTGTATATTTATAAGTTACTGTAAAATTAAAAGAGATTACAATTGTTTACTTTACGTAAGATCAAATACAATCGCCTCATGTACGATTTTTGCAAAACAGTTTTTCGTGTCATTTAATTCTTGAGCGATCGTCACATGAATTCACGATAAAAGTGAAAGATAACGAAACGAGAATTAATGTCAATGAATCGAGCGGTTTGTAAGTCTTTCGTATATCCCGATGAATTATGGAATGAAGAATGAATTTTCGCTCGTGTTTTGGGTCTCATTAAAAGGAGTGTAATTCGGAATAAAATTGTACTTTTTATGATCAATTTCTTCTTGTTGTCAGTTCTTATCTGTATCGCCGGTTTATTGTTGGAAATAAAGTTTAGTCGGATACTGTTATATATAATGTAAAGTAACCCAGTCATGTGTATGTAAATACACCTGCACCTTTGTGCTCATTTGCTGAAAACTTATTGCGCTGTATTTAATTATTACAGCAATCTTATTTCACGTGTATTACAAAAAAAGATCAATTATATAAAACTTGTTTATATAACTTGCTTTATTTAACGCGCGTTTATAGATGTCATAACAAGATAAAGATAAAAATGACACACGTTGAAAGATTATCTAAATAAACGCGATCATCGCGTATTCCAGACTCGTACAAAAATTTCGACGCTATTTCTGATGCGCAATTGCTGATGAAATTGTGCAGTCGATATAGTATATCTCTCTGCGTGCAAAAAACTTTGTAAGTCCTTCAGTAAATACGCCTATTTTTCTTTCTTCCGTTTCTCCCTCTGCGCTTGTTCTCTGTTCTGTTTTTTTATTCTCTCTCTTTTCTCCTTCAACCAGAAATCATAATCGTAACGTTTTTTGGCGAGTTTTACCGTAAAATGGATGTCGAATTTTTTCGACAATATGAGTATATTGTGCTATATTATTACTACTTAAAATTATTTAATATATTGTCTTTCGAAATAAAACGCACTTCACGTTTGATTAATTTCGTTCAGAAAACTTTCCCTGAAAATATTAATATATTATTATAGAGAGAAAAAAATGTAAATATATATGTGTTATGGTTTAAATAAATAAATATATAATGTACTCTTTCAAGCATGCAAAATTCAATATCATTTTCAAGTAGATATATCTTTACGGGTACTGACCATTGGATCTTTCTAATAAATGGTTTTACATCTGGAATCGGGAATCCATTGAATGTATTGGAAAGGGCTAACGTGTAAGCACCCATGTCTCTCCAGACTAACCAGTCGCCTATATAAAGTTCCGGCAATAGCACGTCTTTAAGAATGAGATCATACGAGTCGGCGGTCGGTCCCCATAAATTCGAAAGGAATTTTTCATCGCTTGCCAGCTGCAATATTATATTAATTCGATAATTATGTACTTCACGCAATTATCATTCTTCGTCATATTAAATAGTTACTTATATAGTAAATTAGATAGTAAATTGTATAGTTACATTGAAAGCTAATTCTGGGATTCTGGCCTGCAGACCCAACATTTCGTCTATAAACGAATTGTACACGCCGCAATTCATGTAATACATTCTCGTCAATTCGCCATTTTTGGAAACAGTAAGCTTTTTGGAATGTAAGTAGGAAGCTAAAGTAAAATTCGAACCTACATAATAGCGTCCAGGCTCGCTGATGACTCTTATTGTGGGATCGAGGTCTTTGATTGCGTTGTTAATAATATTGGCCAACTGAGAGAAAAGAAGTAACGAAATGCACGTGTCAACAACAGTATAAACATTTTTCTTAAATAATATACATACCACATCGAGATCTTCGCCGCACACGCTCATGAATCCACCGCCGATATCGATCAGCTGCGCGTCTTCGCAGCCAATCGATTTGGCGAAAGCGATTAATTTTTTACACATTTTGATCCCTCTACGATAGGCGTCCAGTTCTAAACACGGGGTACCGACGTGAAAACTGAAGCCGTGTAAATTCAAGCCGAGATCCTTCGTATATTTTATCAGGCATCTAGCTTCCTTTCGGGGGTCGCAACCGAATTTTGTTCCTAATGATATCGGCGCGTTTTTCGCATCGCAGCGTATACGTATGACGATTCTGTTCGAGTCATGCCAATCAAATATACATCAATGAAAAATAAAACGACTCAAAATATTTTTCGAATAATTATATATAATAATATCTTAATAAAATTTGCCTTATACTTACTTAGCTTCGGGGAAGTAATCTTTAATTTTCACCAACTCAAGTTCACTATCAACCGTCATCTGTTGGACACCCATCTTTCTTGAATATTTTATATGAGACGGCAATTTTGTTGGATGCGCAAAAATGATCCGTTCGCCTTGCACGCCGTACTGCATTACGTGCGCTATCTCTTGCTGTTAAAAACGTTATTATCCTTAACTAACTATGCGAATTATTAGATAACTCGTTAATTTACGTAGAGCTTATATACAATATGAATACAAAATGTAAAGAGGAATATGGTATCTCTAAAATATTTTAATATTCAATTTTTTTATCTCTCTTAGTTTAAATTAATAGAATATGTTGATGAAGTTATTTACGACTTGTATAAATAAGTAAACAGCAAAGCTTTAAATATTTTGTACCAAGATAAAATTTTGATAACTAAAATAAAATTTTTTACCTTAGACGCGCAATCGAAACAACCGTTTAAAGCCGCCAGGACTTTAATTACTGTCGGATTTGAATTGCATTTGATCGCTAAAATTTGAAAATCGTGTGTAAGTATGATATTGATTTTTTTATAAATACATTTCAAAAGAAAAAGAAGAAAGAATTTATTAAATTTCATAAATATACCATAATGTGGAATAACTTTAGGCATTTTACTTATCCATTCGTGATGTCGTTTAATAACATCACCGATATCTGCTATATAAAAGGCATCTTCTGGCTTTTCAATCTTTATTATATCTCTAATGATATCTATGTCATCTACGCCATCGTCAATGATTTTTATTTCTTTGAAATTAAAATGCGACATGATAAAATTAAATAAACACGCAGAAAAATTATCCGCAAAACTCTTTTCTGTAAGAAAAATATTTTAAATTTTAGTTAATATCGTATTAATTATAACATAATTATATTACGTAAATTCAGCTTAATAAATAGATATTACCTATGACAATTATTTTATTGTGTTTAATATATTTTTTAAAACTAATTTAAAGAAGAACTAATTTGAATAATACTTACAGTTTTTAATACGTTAATTTCCAGCTGTTATAAATATGTTACAATAAATATTAATATTTCTGGATTAGAGAAGAGAAGATTTAGAAAAGAGATGAGTCAATTTAATCAAAGCTTCTTGTGAAGAATAATTATGGTTTGTTTGGACTCTCTCTGGTTGTTTCGATAGATTTTAGTTTATAAAAGCACTAACTTTTTAAAATGGGTTGTCAATTTACTATATGGCACGATCAGAATGACTGATTATCCACAGCGTCGTCGGCTTTATATACATTCTTTTGTTCTCTATCTTTCTCTTTCTCTCTGTCTTTCTTATTCACTTTCCAAAATATTGTGATAAGACTATATATATTATCCACACGTTTTTAAAAGTAGACAAATGTTCTTAATTTCATTGAAGTTTCTTGAGAAGAATAATTATGGTTTGTTTGAATTGGGCGTTTCAAAAGATTCTGGTTTGCAGAAACGCTAATTTATATTAAGATAAATACAATGATGCGTTACTCATCTGTCAATTTACTATATGTCATGTTTGAAGCGACTGATTATCCACAGCGTCGATTGGGTATACATTCTTTTGCTTTCTATTACCATCTCTCTTTCTCCTTATCTCTATCTTTCTTTCTTTTAAAACATCGTAATACTATATTACTATTCACACTTTTGATGTAAAGTAAACCAATATCATATTAAATTAGACAAGTTCCAGCATAGTTTGATAAGAATATTTATCAATGAATAATTCATTGCGATATCACCTGGTTAAATAATACGAGTATCTTATCAATCAATATTCCATCTCGAGTTTATTTCTACAGCTACCAAAATCTTGTAACTTATCTGACTACTTATTACGGAAACTAAGTTATTTCATTCGATTAACCCGGGAAAAAAAGTTTAGATCTAATTATACATATATAATTTTGCAGATATAATTATATATGAATTTTTCACCTGATTTAATCATATATATAAATAGATAAAACTGTTTCTGATTATATTTAATTAGATCGCATTATGCATACTTCATATATTGTATATATATGATTAGATACAATTATATATTTTTAAATACAATTAGATCAAATCTCATATATAGAAGAATATAGTACTAAAATAATATTACTCAAATTCATATATAGAAGAATATAGTACTAAAATAATATTGCTCAAATTTTCCAAAAAAAAAAATAAATTTAATTATTATATTAAACTTAAAATTTTTCTGAAATAATAAAATATTGTAAACTATGAAATATAAAAATTGTTATTTAATAAATGTGTAACTCGTATATTCTTAGTATTTTTAAGTTTGACTATACTCGAAAAAGAATCTCAATGTAATTTTACATAACTTGATATGGAGTTATATCTTGATATTTACATATAAATGATAATATAAATAGATCTTATTATATATAATTATATATAATTTGTGATATAATTATATATAATTAGATGTAAACATTTTTTCCTGAAAGTAATTTTAAAAATTATTAGTTTTCTTTTGAAAATTATTTTATTTTGACTTATCAGTCAATTAACTTGAAAATTACACATGGTTATGAAACCGCACACATTTATGAAAGAAATGATTGGCAAAACTTGGAGCGTAAAAAACAAAGAATTAAAACTTAAATTTCTTTTTAAATAAATCATAATAGATATCATATAATATATTAAACTTTACTAAATAATGTATATAATTTATATAATATATTGCGTAATTTAATATATTATAGTGAATTGTGTAAAACTAAATTTTTATCTTAATAATCTTAATTATTAAATATCTATTTCAAAATATATATAGATTCGAAAGAGATAAAGCAGAAGAAATATGAATATAGATATGAATATAAATATGAATCATAAAGAAATATGATTCTCATGATTTATGTTATATACGCAATTAGCTTTCTCGTAACAGATAATCAAATTCTCCAAAACATCATTAACCTTATAAAGACTTTCTAAATTTGTTGACAATAGCGTATGTTATAGATATGTATGTTGAGTAGATATCAAGAACACATGCCGCGGAATCTAATTTAGTATTTCTTATGGACTACAAAAAAGTAGATTCATAATACAATTAATTTTATTTTTGGCGAAGTTTTATCTTACATTATAAGAATTCATTCTATTATTCACATTAAGTTGTATTGTTCGATGGATTTTTGCAGAATGAAGCAAATTGCTCATTGCAATTGCACATTGAATCAATTTGCACTTTAAAATTTTCCCTGTAAATATCAATTTATACAATAATTTAATTAAAAGCTATGTGGGGATTATCGTACGAATGAATAATATTATAATTAAACTATTATTTCTCATTTCTTCGCACTAACCATTGACTCTTCCTAATGAATGGTATCACAATCGGGATTGGGAAACCATTAAATGTAGTAGCAACGGCTATGGAATAAGCACCCATATCTTTCCAAATCAACCAATCGCCTATTTCAATCTCGGGCAACATCACTTCCTTGACAATTAAATCATACGAGTCGGCCGTTGGTCCCCATATACTTGAAAGGAATTTTTCGTGGTTTGTTGGCTACGATGGATAAACCGATGATTACTTTCTATTAATAAAGAATAGCTTTTAATGAAAAAAATAAAATTTAGAATTACCTCGGAAAGTAATAGCGGGACTCTAGCTTGTATACCTAACAGTTCATCTATAAAGGCACTGAACACGCCGCAATTTACGTAATACATTCTCATCATTCTGCCGTTCTTCGGAATAATTCTCTTGGAATGCATATATGCAGCCAAAGTGAAGCCGGAAGTTACGTAGTAACTTCCTGGTTCGCCGATGACTCTTATGCTAGGATCGAGATCCTGTATCGCATCGTTGATAATAGTGGCGAACTAAAAGATTTATGAAAAATGTGCATCAACAACATGCACATAGACAAATGATATAAATAAGAATATTTTAAACGCTATATTTTTCTTACTATTACTAGTCTTTTTAGTGAAATCTTCTACAGTCGATATTTTACGTTAAAAATTTGGGAACTACGCACGGTTTCTTTTTTAGAATTTGTTTTTTAATATTCGTTTTTTAATATTAATTTAGATTCCATTTTACTTAATATCATTTTTTAAAGTTTAACCTAATGTTCTAGTTTAATAAAGTTATCTTATATAAAGATAAGAGAGATTTTGGAAGAAAATCTGGGAAATACCATATCGACATTAGTTCCACTCGCTCCGGGAAATCCACCGCCGATGTCAATCAACTGCACATTGTCGTGTCCAATTGCTTTGGAGGTGTTAATTAATTGTTTGCACAATTCGATCCCTCTTGCATAAGCCTCCATCTCTCCGCATGGGCTACCGACGTGGAAACTGAAGCCGTGTAGATTTAAGCCGAGATGTTTGGCGAGCTGTATTAAACTCACAGTTTCCTCGTCCGGTTCGGAGCCAAATTTCAATCCCAGTACTACCGGCGTATTCTTCGCATCGCAGCGTATACGTATAACGATCCTATTACACATAGAGAAAGCGTCGATCGAAACGGATAAGATCATAAAAAACTTATTAAAACGAATCCCGTGACTCACTTAGCTTCGGGAAAGAGATTCTTAATCTTAAGCAACTCGCTTTCACTGTCCACTGTCATCTGCTCGACGCCCATTTTTTTAGCGTACTTTATGTGAGACGGATATTTGGCCGGATGCGCGAAAATAATTCGATCACCGTGCACTCCGTGTCGCATTACTTGCTCTATTTCTTGCTGTCGTTAATATAATATTATTTTTATCTCGAGATTATCTAATAAACTATATTAAATGATTGTGTGAAGGAAACTCAAGAATTCTTACCTTGGATGCACAATCGAAACCGGCATTCAAAGCCGCGAGAACTTTGATTACTGTTGGATCCGGATTGCATTTAATTGCTAAAATTTGGAATAGATTGAAAGTCTTAATATGAACTGTATGTAAATATATTACTAAGAATGTAAAAATAAAGAATATGCTCACCAAAATGTGGGATGACTCTAGGCATCTTGGTAATCCATTCTTGATGCTTTTGAATAACATTACCGATATCCGCAATATAAAAGGCGTTTTCGTGATCTTCCGTACTAGTCATAGTCCTTATAATATCCATATCATCCATAGTATCGGCAAAGATTTTTATTTCATCAAAAGATCGTGCCATGTTAAAATATACAAACGTAACACTTCAATGAAATATTGAATACACGACTTTCTTTCTCTTTCTAAAAGATTTCAAATAATTGATTATTTAATTTGACATGTTTACAAGTTATATTTTTACAAAATTGAATGAAACATATAAATAACTGTGTTTGTGTAAGCATGTTATATATTTTTATTAAATAACATGGTTATACAAACATGGTTATACGATTTTTTAATAAACTCTGATGTTAAAAATAAAAAGATATGTATGCGTATAATATAATCTTATTGTATATTGAATTATTTTATAGTATATTAGTTAGCTTAGATTGTGTTTTATGCAACAAATATGCAAATTATTTATTAGCGGATAAAATATAAGGAGATGAATTGACTTACTACACTTTGCCTTGATAAACCGAATCTGAAGCTCTCACTAAACACACTAAGCTCTCGTTAAACTCTCGCTAAATACACTAAATATTAAAGTATTTTTAAAATACTGTATACTCCAGAAGGAAACTTTACAAAGTAATTTATGTTAAGAGCAAGATCTTCTTTTATATACATATCCACTTATCGATCCCATTTACGATAATGGAAAATGGGAAGTTTTAGAAATAATAATGATCTATTACTTTTACACTTATTACTTCTAATGAACAAGTGTAGAATTTTAATAAATGGCAAGACACGTATCTGCAAGACAAACAGAATTATGACAAAAAAGAATAAACACATTTTGCAGCATATTTTAACGCTTCTTATATATTTGTTTTGCTCTTCTCACTTTAAAGTAAGCATCTATTTTATCTAGATCATTAACATTTTTGTACATATTCATTTATTTATCATATTCATTTTTTAAAAGAAATAAAAAAATGCTCAGTTATCCTACGTACTCGTCCATAAGTGTAATAACTTAATATTTAGACAATTACCTGCGCTGCAAAAGATAAGAGAAAAAGAGAGAAATTACATTCTCTTTCTTATCTAAAAAAAAAAAAAAAATAAAAATAAAAAATTTTAAATTAAAAAAGACATTTTTCTCTCATTGTCAGTTAACTCCGTCATAATCTTCTATCAACATTCATAGAGAATACCGATGTTTTCAAAAGGCAGAGAGAGAGAGAGAGAGAAACTGCGTATAGAGAATAGTGTAATCATGCGACCATTTTAAGTATTCTGTTTTAAGTGTTTTTTTTCTTATTTGCTCTGTTCATGTAGTCATGAGAGTTAGAACGCAACCGCTTTATTTACACGTGTTTTCAACATCATTATAAAATTTACTCCGTACTCTCTCAGTTTGTTCAATAATAATCCTGTTCTCTTATACTTCGTTAACAAGTTTTACAATAAAACTCGGTGCATGAAACTCCAACAATGAAACGCGGGTCGTCCTATTAAGTCCCCGTGCATGATCGTCATTTTCATAACGGACGAATGACGCAGAAAATTCTTAAAATCATATTGCGTTCACGTATTTACCAGTTAACTGGCTGAGTGTCTCGTTTTAAAACAGCGTCTAGTCCGAAGCCAGAGAGGAGAAGACGAAAGAACGCCATCCTTGCTAGAACGATTTCGAGGAGAACAAAGGTGAAAAACAACACGATCGTTTGTATATGCGAATTGGAAACTAAACATTGGTCATAAAATTGGAACTTGGGAAAGACACAACCGAAAGATTGATAAAAGATTAGAAAATAATACACGGGAAATGGATCGCAGCGTCGACTATAAATCTAGAATTAAACCGGGAGAAGAAATCGACGCACGTTCCGGGAATACAAGCCGGGTCGTGTTGGTAGTAGTAGCGGACTTCCTGCAGTCGGACGTGCCGCGTCGTATAACCGCCTCCGCAGTGACGGAAGCTGGGAAAGGTCGGCCCTGCGAAGTAAGCGACGTCGTTTTGACCCTACCACACCCTCTCCACTCTTGATGACCCTTGGGATTTGAATTTTACAGCGGCACGAGGACACTCTCTCCTTTTTTCGGTTGATCCTCGCACTTTTCAGGCGGCTCGCGAACGAAAGAGAGGAGTCTAAGTTTCAACTTGTTAATTTTAAACACTGTCTGCTCTCCTCAACATTATAGAACATGATAAAGTTTGAAGTTGAGATAAGAATGAATCTCTTCATTGTTTATATATAATTATTATCGCAAAATACTAATCATCTTTGTTGTAAAAAATTTACGGAAAAACGATCTTGATTCGAAGAGTATATTATTGATCACAAAAAATGATATTCATAGACGTATTTTTTATTGTGTTAAATACCGTTTACACGCACATAGACGAAGAGATTTCGATATCCACGCGGGCTTTCCTCACATTAATCAACGTCACGCACGCGTCTGATAACATTTGTCGAAGGCACAACGCCATGAAACCATTCCTTTGATATTCGTTAGTATGTCACACGTAATATCCGCTAGACGGCCGATGATGGATTTGACGCTCTCGCAGATTGCCGTATCGCGTCGAACGATGTCTGTGTGTATTTTTTTTTTTTTTTTTTTTATATATGACGAAAAACATTGCAATACATACGCGGCGCGACCCGATACGTCCGCGATACGTAAAATTGCACGCGTTGTTGGCAGCTGTCGCCATCGGCCAACCATTCCGGCTACCCTCCCGATGTTTTTGACGCGACGATTTTGCCGATTTGCCCGGCATGATAGTCCCCGATTGATTATATATCGATCCGCCGTCGTGAGCATCAATTCGTACGAGAATATTTGGCACGTTTATTCATCGAGCTGAAAATCCACGTGCTACACATCGAAAATCGCATGCATTCCACTCTTGACTTGACACGGGATTTCATTAAATCGGATTTAACTGTTTATTGTTATGGTAAAAAGAGCACAGATCGGAGCTCTATACAAAAATTTAAATGAAAAGAACAGTTGTAAATCATTGAATCTGGATATTATCTGTATAAACGTATAGAAAGAATCAATTCTCTTAGACATGTTAAAGTATACGTGTATATATATATATATATGGCTGTCTAAGAAAGTTGGACGATAAATCTGAAGAACATTTGCGTGTAACACCGTTAATAGTGCTTGGGCGCAGTTTCACCAGGTGCCGATCACGTTTTCGGGAAGCGTTGAAGTACGATCGTAGTTTCACAAGTCATAGTATTTCCGTACAGGCGCGGCGGCTCGCGAAATAATGAAGATCCTCTCTTGCGAAAGCGCGCCACGTCTCGTGCATGAATATCTTGCCGGTTCGCCGTCATTAAAAAAGGCTTACGCTACTTTCAGCTTAGAGACGACGAGGACAAGAGCTAACAAGGCCGGAACTTTGTACTGCGAATGCAAGTTCGGGAGAGAGAAACCCCCGTAATACGTTTTACGTTTCGGGGTATAAGACTCGCGCTGTTAAAGCCGAGTTCAAAACTTGTCGAGATGCTGGCGGGGGAGTCGAGAATGGTGTACACGTGATCGTGATATGCGACGGACACGTTCGCGTTTCAGCGACAGCTTGGCAGTCACCGCAGACAGTGCATACTTTCCGCAGCCTTAGCTAGCGGTGAATTAACCCTTGCACTCTCATTTCTCTGCGCTCGGTATCACGTTCTTTATCTTATTAACCCTGCGTCGTTCACACTTTCCTGGGAAAATAATAGCGAAATAGACCTCGAAGGTTAAATTTACTAAATCTATTACGTTTATCGTATTTTCTCCTCTTTTCCCTTAATTACTCTGACACGAAAAGAAATTAATACCACGTATTTTGATTCGATGAATTATAAATGATTAAATAACCTTAGAGGATATCATGTAAAAAATGATATACAATATCTTAAGCATTATATTAAAGATTAATAAAAATGATACGAATGATTAAAAAAAAAATCTAATTGATTAATTATTTATAACTTTCTGTTTCTCTTTTCCTCTCTTTTGAAAAAAAAAAATTCAAGGAGAGGACTAAACGAATAAAACACGCTTTGATCGTGTTCTTGAACCATTCAAAATCCGCACGTTGGATAGCCAATCGCGCAACAAACACGCACACATACATCATCGCACATGTTACCACGCGGTCGATCAAGGGATCCGTAAACGGCGTGAGCGGCATGCTACGATATTCGCGAACTAATTCAACGTTGTTCCCGCCGTAAATCGCGTGACTCCGGTCCGCCAACGACTTCTTGGATCAGTGTAATAGGTATGTTGCTCACGTACGCTCCGAATGCACAACGCGGGTCGTCTATCGGAGGCGCGGGAGCGAGAGAAGCACAATAATTGGTGCCGCTTCGAACACGCCGTGGTTACATCGATCCGAGAGAGTGCTCGCCGAGAGTGCGAAAAGCTACTCCCTTTTAATCACGCGATAGCGTAAGGCGACAACGAAAAATCCTTTTAGGATGGAAATTTAGCATTCACCGGACTCTCGATTCTACTTGTGAAAGATCGTATATGCGCGATGGAAAATGAATGTTATCTTTTAAAATGTAACATCCGGGATAAAATTGTTGTACATTTAAAATTGCATGCTTGTTTCGTGTCGCCGCAAATTGAGCCAGAGATAAAAGAGAGAAGGCATGAATATAATACTTTAAACTCAGCTCGGATTTAATTAAACCAGATCGATTCCGGTGGAGTGCTTGTGAGTTAAATTTTCATTTGTTCGTTGTATCTTCTCTCAAGATATTGATTCTAGGATTTCCTGAGCTTTTGTGCTTCCGATAGTTATCCTTTCTTTTTTGCAATTTTATCAATTTAAATAAAAATATTGTCTCTGCCTTCATTTTTCAGCTAACAAAATGATATCTTCGTGTTTCCTGTGAAATATTTTTATTAAAATATTTATAAAGGTTTATAGAATAAGCGATATCTCTGATCATCTCGCTGTTCGAAGCAAGATTACAAGTTAATTTCAGATTCAAAGGTGACTCGAATCGATTGCGAGGAATTACGGAAGTCGCGTACCGTAATTCCGATCGAGAAAACCTTCACGTCGTCGGCGGCGAAAATTCGAACGGGCGTCGCGCATTGCGGATAATGTCCGGTTCAGTCGGTCAATCTCGACGTTTCGGAGCTCGGTTTATCTAATCCCCGCTCGATCACGCACACACAGGGATAATCGACTGCACCCTCGGAAGGACAAGAATTTTGATTTCGCGGCGGTGAGCCGCGGCTGAGCATGCGAATTCGTGAACGTAGCGCCGGAAAATCCCTGTCGTCGTTGCAGCAGCAAGGCTAGCACGAAAATCAGAGAAAAAGAGAGAGAGAGAGAGAGAGAGAGAGAGAGGAGTGGGATGCAGTGCAGTGGGACATGAATTCGAAGAATGACACAGGGCATGTAAGGGCAAAAGAGATTATGGGAAATGTAAGGGAGAGGGAGAGGTAGAAGGTATCCCCTCTCCCCCTTCCCCACGATAGTCACGTTATCCATATATGGGCGATCGGACGAGATGGGTGAAAGCGAAGGGAGTGGAAGTGAGTTGGTGGGTGGTCGGTGCACGTCGATCGTACCCACGGAATATCCGCACTATCCTGCGGAAAATCGGTCCGCGGAAAGAGAGAGGTGGAAAGGCGGTGAGGAGGGGGAGGGAGAAGGGGGACGACGACGATAGAATGGGTGTGGGTGATCGGTGAAGCGGAAGGCCGATCACGTAGACGGAATTCCATGGCGCTTCCCTTACCACGCGTCGAACTGAATTAAACCAATCTCGCTTGGGGGGAGGGATGGGGGGTGGGGGGTTGTGGGAAAGGTTGTGCGGATTTAAATAATTGAAATAAACTGTGAGCACACGCCGACTCGGCACGCCGCAACCCTCCGGAAAAAGGGGGACGTCTCGCTCTATCCCTTCCATTTTCGATTCCTGACTCGAGAACGATCTCGTCTATCTCTCCCGCGAAGTCGAAACTCCTTCGTAATCGCGCTAGAATCGATCTGCTATCGTCAATCCCGCTTGTCTTCATGTTTCCGTAATAGTTTTTATATTTTGAATATTTATGTAA